CCTATTTTAACAATCTGAAACGCAAGTGTCAAAGCGCAAAGCGCAAGTAACTTTGTGGGCAGATCCCGCCGCTGTTGCTATTTTCCCGGCGGGATAAATGCCTCTTGCGCCTGGCGCAAATCTAAAAGGGGTTGGTCTGGAGTAGCTTCATTATACATAGGTGTGTTTTGGGCATAACGTGAAATAAACCAATCAGAGCGTCATCTCACATTCCCTTTAAGAGAATGATGAACAACGTGCGCTTGTTCCATGGCACAATACTATTATAACGGCGCATTTAACAGACGCGCTTCACAATCGTTTCACAGCCGAGGAGATCGATGTTCTCGTCAGGGCCGTAAAAGAAAGAGAAGTAACATTGGGGATGGGACAAACACACCCAAATTAGCTTCAGTTAAACATGCATATAATAATTTGGGTAAACGTGTAAGCTTCTATTTTTTTCCCATTGTCATGAACGCAACAATAATTTCCCTCGTGTTTTAATAGTTTTCCTTATCATTTGGAAAAAGTAAAATGCATCTGTGTAGATGAGAGAATCATCTAAAGTGTATGCACGTTGTTCACACTCTTATGGCCAAGCATGATCGCTTAAAATAGCATCTGAAAGTACGCGCAACGTGCCACTGACTTTGCTGGTCAAATTTTTTTGCTGGTCAGTGGCACAATTGTTTTCTGGAACTGCAAAATAGCACTGGGGAATGTTTGCGCCAAAACACGCCTCATGCCTGGATAGATGTCTTGGGGCAGACAATCACGTGGTTTATTGGCGGATGGATGAAAGTCTTTTTGAAGATCGAAGCGTTTTGCAGAACAGAAAGAAAAATGAGACGAGAATAGTATATATGGCTTGAATGAAGCTGTTTGAACCCATGTTCTCCTGATCTTGTTTGGGTTCTTTTGTCTGCTGGTCTACATGGTTACTGGTCTGTCCGGTTACTCGACATGGCTTCTCTATGACTTCTGTAACTCTAAGTATAACTCTAACATAACTCTTCAGTATAACAGAAACATAATTCCACCATAACTCTAGCACAAGCATAACGCTAAAGCTTTGTCCTGGTCTAAGATTTTAAACTCAACTGGATGAGTTCGGACCAATTAGACACTGTCGTTATTTGAGAGGTGGTATTTCCTTCCGCTCTCATCACAAATCATGCTTTATCTGTGATCCTCTTACTCTCCAGCTTTAGCAGAGAGAGTACAGAGGATACAATTTAGACATGACTATATAAGAACACAAAACATTTTACACAGATTTCACTCAAGCCATTTTCTGAAGAACATATGGGGCTTTATCTTGCACCCGGCGCAAATGACTTTATACACAAACGCATGTCTCATTCCTATTTTGCACGCGCGCAAAGCGGGATTTTCCCCTCCATAGACGCACGTTGGTAAACTAGGGAATGAACTTGCGCTCCCTGGGCGGGTTGGCTCAAAAAGGAGGCGTGTTTCGGCGCAAACATTCCCTGGTGCTTTTTTACACTTCCAGAAAAGAATTGCGCCACTGACCAGAAAAAAACCTGGTCTAAAGTCAGTGGTGCGTTGCGCGTTGTTCATAATGCTATTTTAAGCGCGCATGCTTGGCCATAATGTAGCGGGTACACAACGCGCATTAACAGATTCTCTCATCAACACAGATGCAGTAGTTTTTATTTTTGCAAATCATACATTATAACAAGGAAAAATATTAACATATGAGGGAAATCATTGTGGTTTACATGAAGATGAAAAAAACCTAATTACCCATTTTTTAAAGGGTTAGTTCGCCCATTTAAGACATGAAGTTGTATGCAATCCTTACCAGCACTATAGTGTATACACACTGACCCACTCTGTTGTGACCCCCCTGGTCAGAGTTCTGACCGCTGGAAGTTTTTAAATAAAGTACTCCCGGCTATTTTCCGGGGCCAGAAAACTGTGCGTTTTTACGTGAAAAAATGATTTGCGTTTCAAAGCTTGATTAATTTACCACACAAAAAACACGCCGGGCAAAATTCATACCTCAGTTTTAATGCGGCACTATTTTCTATCCATTTCTATCAATCCGCGCTGCCGCAACGTCAACAGTGCGCACGTTACGATCAGCTGTTCCATAGTTTTTACACAATCGATTGACTACTAGGTAAGAAGTATTACATTAACTCTTTCCCCGCCAAACACAGAATTTTCCGGGTTTAATGAAAAAACGCATCCCCGCCAAACACGGAATTTTCCGGGTTTAATGAAAAAACGCATCCCCGCCAAACACGGAATTTTCCGGGTATCCGTGTTTTAGGTGGTATACGGTAAGGAAGACCCGCGCGCATGTTCTGAATGAGTGCGCAACTCTTTGATCAGAGAAACAGATTGCAATCGTCTCAAACAGTGGAGTAGTGAGAATGTATCAGACAGACAATGCAGAGGTATATGGCTGAAGTACTGGAGGTTAATGGACTCGGAGTCCGATCACTCTTTATTTGATCATTTTGAATCTGATCGGGACGAAGTAGTCAGTGAGAGAGATGCACATGTTGTCACAGAAAGTTCTAGCCATGGACGTGCCGCAGATAGATCGTATAATACTTGTATTATGACACTATAATATTTATGTGTGTGTGCAGGCATTTATGTGTGGCTGTCTAAATATGAAGGTGTAATTGTCAAATTATTTCTCTCTTTGTGCACATTTACCACATTGTAATATGTATTTGTGTGTGTGTGTGTGTGTGTGTGTGTGTGTCTAGGCCTGTTTATTGTAATTCCAATTATTCATTATTCACAGGTAGAACACAGAGAGGCAGAGGCAGAAGTTTTATTGCAAAAGTTACATTTCCCTTACATCCTGGGGAAATTTGATATATTTTACATTTATTTATGTTTTTAATTTATTTTGGAAAGTTTTATATATGAAGGAAACAACATCTGAATGTATTCTGCTTTTAAATGCACTTGTTTGATAAAAATACCTTTTTCTCAGTTTTTTGTCCAAAATGTTGTGTTTTTGACAAAACCTACCTCTGTTCAAGAGGCAGTAAAAAAAGAACAAACGAAGATAAAATAAAAACGTTTTTTTTTTTTTGCCTAAAAGCAGAGGCTCAGATCTTTATTTTTATATATATCATCTTCATATATTCATGGAAGAAAATATTCAGCGGGGCATTAAAATTTAGCGAAAATCGTCAAAAACCCTGGCGGTGGCTGGCAACGTTTTTGGCAACGCTGGCGGGGAAAGAGTTAACAATAGTGCGAACTTGTAAATTCCCAGGCTGTGACCACAAGGATGTTCCGGGATAAAAGTTCAGATTCCATCGTTTTCATGTTTCCTATGAGACCGCTGGATCCAAATGTCATTGGATGCAGCTAATGCAGACAGCTGGCCTCCTCGTCAATCGATAGGTTAGTTCGGCATCGGTATACTCCGGTTCATATATCACTTCAGGTATCCCTTTGTCGTTGTGCTAAAATTACTTTCATCATCTGATCCGTCTGACATTGTGCTAAAATTCGTTTGATCATCATAAGTTTCGCAGTCAGACATGTTGTCAGCGAGTCGCGCGCTATTAACAGCTGATCGTAACGTGCGCACTGTTGACGTTGCGGCAGCGCGGATTGATAGAAATGGATAGAAAATAGTGCCGCATTAAAACTGAGGTATGAATTTTGCCCGGCGTGTTTTTTGTGTGGTAAATTAATAAAGCTTTGAAACGCAAATCATTTTTTCACGTAAAAATGCACAGTTTTGTGGCCCCGGAAAATAACCGGGAGTACTTCATTGAAAAACTTCCAGCAGTCAGAACTCTGACCAGGGGGGTCACAACAGAGTGGGTCAGTGTGTATACACTATAGTGCTGGTAGGATTGCATACAACTTCATGTCTTAAATTGGCGAACTAACCCTTTAAGGCTAATTGTAGTACTGAAGGATCAGACCTGTTTGCCCAATAATGGCAAGAAACATATGTATATAGGCTAATGTTTAACCGACGCTGATGTGCGAGGGTTTCTACTATCCCCATACAACGTCACCTCTCTGTCTTTCACTGTCCTGACAAGAACGTCGGTCTCATCGGCTGTGAACGCTCCTGGCGCGCGCCTGGTAAACTCGCCGTTATAATAACAATCCGTCATGCAACATGCCCTCCTGTTCTTAAAGGGTATGTTGGATGGCGCTCTGATTGGTTTATTTCACGTTACGCCCAAACCACACCTATGAATAATGAAGCTACTTTAGACCAACCCCTTTTAGATTTGTGCCAGGCGCTAGAGGCATTTATCCCGCCGGGAAAATAGCAACAGCGCCGGGACCCGCCCACAAAGTTACTTGCGCCATGCGCCTTGACACTTGCGTTTCAGATCGTTAAAATAGGGCCCATGATCTTACTGATAGGAAACACAATACACTTTCCAGTGCTCTGGAATGTTGATTTTAGGTCTGGAGTGATGAATTCTGTTTGAATGAAAGATTCATTTGTGTTTGGTTCACCATTAATTCCTACAGAGATAATACGAAGATTGTACTGTCGGTTCGGTGGACCAACAGATTATTCGATGTGAAATTAATTCTGTTAAAGGTTATTCTGAAAATGTATCTATTCTAGCCTATCGGTTTATTCATAATTTATTATAATTCATTGTAATTAATTATCCATATTTATAGATATAAATACATGGGCTATGTATCCCCTTTCTGGGCGATTTAAAATATGTAGGTAATAATTTATCATAAAAACCAGTATGATTAATTATAAATTCCATTTTTTTTTTAGCTAATTCGCTTCAAATTGTATAACCAAGAATCGGAGCTTCTGGATATAATGTTAATTCTCTTTTCCACGTCAATTGTTTATTATTGTTGTTGTTGTTTTTTTCTGTTGCTGTTTTTTTTTTTATAATGTGCAGACCCGCCTCAACCACAACTGTCAATAGAGTCTGATTGGAAAACGTTTTACCCAAGTGAAAAAGTGATTCTGAAGTGTTCAATCAACTCAAATAAATGGGCCTATGAATGGTTTAAAGATGGAACTCAGGTTTCAGCTAACAAGGACATTATCTTTTCTGGAAACACACTCTCAATCAGCTCAGCAAAAGGAAGTTATTCAGGACTGTATACTTGCAGAGGAAAACATCTGAGAACGCCAGTGACTACAAGACAAGCAGAAGCTTTGAAACTTCATATTCATGGTAAAACTACTTTATGATTAATAGATATTAATGTAATTGGCAGGCACCCAAAAGAGTTCAATTTATATTTTAAGCTGTTTTTCATTTCTGTGTATCGGTGTTCATGTCAGCTATGCAGTTTCCTGTCTTCTCTTCTTGGCAGCGGCCAGACACAAATTACAGAAAATTACAAGCAAATGCAAATCAAGGCCACTATTGTTTGGGGAGAGTCTATTATGTTGTATTCTACCCCTGTGATTCTTAGATAGCACACCAAAACCAGACATCAGAAAAGATCAGTGGTTTGAGCCCTTCTACACTGGGGAGAAAATCGAGCTTGATTGTAACATGCCTGGTGATGGATGGAAGTATGACTGGTATAAAGGCTCAAAGCACTTGATCAGAGATCCAACCTTCACCATCAACTCAGCATCTCCCTCTGACACTGGTGACTATCACTGCACAGCAAAGAGAGGAGACTTCTCAGTGGATAGTGGGACTCTACAAGTGCGAGTTGAAGGTGAGTCCTCAATGCACCTGTTTATAGTCATTTCTATTGTGGAATATTCTTCCCATTGTTGATTTATTGAGTTAACAATGCCTTAGTAAAGTTCCCAGGACATTATGAAATGCAGAACTTTACCTTGCACACAATATAAGTCACTCACTTTGGAAATATCTGCCAAATATGTAAAAGAAATGACATGGAATCAAGAGAGTTCAATATGTATTTTAGACTAAACAATTGTATAACCAAAAAACTTGGCATCTGGCTATAAATATAATTTTCATTCACTCTTCCATGTCAATTGTACATTACTGTTGCTGTTTTTTATTTGTTCCTGTGCAGAGCCACCTCAACCCAAACTGTCAATAGAGTCTGATTGGAAAACATTTTACCCAAGTGAAAAAGTGATTCTGAAGTGTTCAATCAATTCAAATGAATGGGACTATGAATGGTTTAAAAACAGATATCGGCTTTCACGTAACAAGGAAATTTCCTTTTCTGGAAACACACTTACAATCAGCTCAGCAAAAGCGAGTCATTCAGGACCGTATTTCTGCAGAGGAAAACATCGTGAGAGACCGTTAGTGACTACAAGAAGAACAGAAGCTTTGCAACTTCGTATTTATGGTAAAACTACTTACGACGTTGATTAATAGATATTAATGAAATTGACCGGCATCCAAAAGAGCGCAATGAAAAAGCTGTTTATATTTTAAGCTGTTTTCACTTGCATTGGCTTGTATCAGTCTTCATGTAAGCTATGCAGTTTCCTGTCCACTCTTCTTGAGAGTGGCCAGACACTATTAGCAGAATGAGTCAGTTAATTTAGTCTTGAATTACAAATAATAGTAAGCATATGCAAATCAAAGAAGTTTTTGCTTGAAGAGAGAGATCATTATTACTAATTCTACCCCTGTGATTCTTAGTTAACACACCAAAACCAGACATCAGAAAAGATCAGTGGTTTGATTTCTTCTACACTGGGGAGAAAATCCAGCTTGATTGTAACATGCCTGGTGATGGATGGAAGTATGACTGGTATAAAGGCTCAAAACACTTGATCAGAGATTCAACCTTCACCATCAACTCAGCATCTCCCTCTGACACTGGTGTCTATCACTGCACAGCAAAGAGAGGAGACTTCCCAGTGAATAGTGGGACTCTACAAGTGCGAGTTGAAGGTGAGTCCTCGATGTAACTCTTTATAGTAATTACTATTGTGGAATATTCTTCCCATTGTTGATTCATTGAGTTAACAATGCCTCAGTAGAATTCCCAGGAAATGAATAAACTGATGAAATGATGATCTTTACCTTACACACAATGTAAATTGCCATTTGGAAACATCTGCCAAATATTTAAAAGAAATGACATGGTCATGGAATCAAGAGATTTGGGCATCTGGCTATAAATAACACAGTCTCATCCCAAGACGTCATATAACATCCGCTGTTTTAGGGTACCCTTTAACGTCAGTTACGTGACGATCCTGGGACGTCATACAACTGACGCTTTACCTTTAACGTCAGTTAGGTGACGGGGTAGCTTTAGGTCTGGGGTAGGGTTAGGATCTGATAATGTCATCTAACCGACGTTTAAGGGTACCCTAAAACGGCGGATGTTGACGTGTGGTCAAAAGACGTACCAAGACGTCAGTTATATGACGTCTTGGAATGAGACTGCGCTGCTATAAATATACATTTCATTCACTTTTCCAAGTCAATTGTTCATTACTGTTGTTTTTTTTTTTTATTGTTTTGCTGTGTAGACCTGCCTAAACCAAAACTGTCAATAGAGTCTCAATGGAAAACATTTTACCCAAATGAAAAAGTGATTCTGAAGTGTTCAATCAATTCAAATGAATGGGACTATGAATGGTTTAGAAACAGAGATCAGCTTTCAGGTGATGATGACATTTCCTTTTCTGGAAACACACTCTCAATCATCTCAGCGAAAGCGAGTCATTCAGGACAGTATTCCTGCAGAGGAAAACATCGTGAGAGACCGTTAGTGACTACAAGAACTACAGAAGATTTGGAACTTCACATTTATGGTAAAACTACTTGTGATATTCTATAATTAATAGATATGAATGGCATTAACAAGCACTCAAAAAAAAAAAAAATGCCAGACACTTAGCTGTGTGATTCAATTAATTTATTTCAACTATTAGTTTTTATTCTACCCCTGCGATTCTTAGATAACACACCAAAACCAGACATAATAAAAGATCAGTTTGATTTCTTCTACACTGGGGAGAAAATCCAGCTTGATTGTAACATGCCTGGTGAAGGATGGAAGTATGACTGGTATAAAGGCTCAAAACACTTGATCAAACAGCCAATCTTTACTATCAACTCAGCATCTCCCTCTGACACTGGTGACTATCACTGCACAGCAAAGAGAGGAGACTTCCCAGTGGATAGTGAGACTCTACAAGTGCGAGTTGAAGGTGAGTCCTCAATGTAACTCTTTATAGTAATTTCTGTTGTGGAATATTCTTCCCATTGTTGATTTATTGAGTTAACAATGCCTTAGTAAAGGTCCCAGGAAATGAATAAATTGATGACATTCTGATCTTTACCTTACACACAATGCAAGTAACTTTGGAAACATCTGCCAAATATGTAAAAGAAATGACATGGAATCAAGAGATTTGGGCATCTGGCTATAAATATCATTTTCATTCACTTCCAAGTCAATTGTTCATTACTGTTGTTGTTGTTTTTTTTTTTTTATTGTTTTTTTTTTATGTAGACCTGCCTAAACCACAACTGTCAATAGAGTCTAAATGGAAAACATTTTACCCAAGTGAAAAAGTGATTCTGAAGTGTTCAATCAATTCAAATGAATGGGACTATGAATGGTTTAGAAACAGAGATCAGCTTTCAGGTGATGATGACATTTCCTTTTCTGGAAACACACTCTCAATCAGCTCAGCAAAAGCGAGTCATTCAGGACAGTATTCCTGCAGAGGAAAACATCTGAAGAGAACGCCAGTGACTACAAAACAAGCAGACGCTTTGAAACTTCATATTCATGGTAAAACTTCTTGATTTCTATAATTAATAGATTAATGAAATTAACACTAAAAAGGGTTCAGTGAAGAAACCAGACCCTTTTCGTAAAATGATTAAATTCATTTAGTCTCAAATTATAGATAATTTGTTTGTGATTATTGTTTGGGAAGAGTCTATTAGTTTTTATTCTACTCCTGTGATTCTTAGATAACACACCAAAACCAGACATCAGAAAAGATCAGTGGTTTGAGCCCTTCTACACTGGGGAGAAAATCGAGCTTGATTGTAACATGCCTGGTGATGGATGGAAGTATGACTGGTATAAAGGCTCAAAACACTTGATCAGAGATCCAACCTTCGCTATCAACTCAGTATCTCCCTCTGACACTGGTGACTATCACTGCACAGCAAAGAGAGGAGACTTCTCAGTGGATAGTGGGACTCTACAAGTGCGAGTTGAAGGTGAGCCCATGGTGTACCTGTTTATAGTCATTTCTATTGTGGAATATTGTTATTCTTCAGCACTCCTTTTGGACAACTAAAATGCATTAAAGGGATAGTTCACTTTGACATTAATTTTTTGATATGTTTTAGCTTACCTCAAGGGCATCCAAGATGTAGGTGTCTTTGTTTCCACAGTATTTTCAATTTTGATATGTTTCGGTTTAACCGGTGTTGTCTATCAGTCATATAATGCAGGTTTAGGGGGTCCTCCTCAAAGAGCATGCACAGAGAAGTCCAAATTAAACATGATTTAATGACTCATGAATGTAAGTACACATTGATGGCCTAAGACACGAAACGAGCGGTTTGTGTGAGAAAACGAACAGTATTTATATCGTTTTTACCTCTTGTTAACAGCTGTCGAATTGATCTGAATCAGATGTCCAACTGAACCGAACTGAACCGTGCCCAACCTTAAACCGGAAGTGATCTCTCGCGCGTCTACATCACGTATTGTTTACACGAAGATTTCGGAAGTTTTACCTTTCACTAAACATATTTAGATATATCGAAATCGTCTTCCCGTAAATCTAAATATGTTTAGTGAAAGGTAAAACTTCCGAAATCTCCGTGTAAACAATGCGTGACGTAGACGCACGAGAGATCACTTCCGGCATAAGGTTGGACATGGTTCAGTTCGGTTCAGTTGGACATCTGATTTAGATCAGTTCGATATAGCTGTTAATAAGAGGTAAAAACTATATAAATACTGTTCGTTTTCTCAAACAAACTGCTCGTTTCGTGTGTTAGGCCATCAATGTGTACTTATATTCACGAGTCATTAAATCATGTTTAATGTGGACTTCTCTGTGCATGCTCTTTGAGGAGGACCCCCTAATTATATGACTGATAGACAACACCGGTTTGACCGAAAAATGTCAAAATTGAAAATACTGTGGAAACAAAGACAACTACATCTTGGATGCCCTTGAGGTAAGCTAAAACATATCAAAAATTAATTTCAAAGTGAACTATCCCTTTAAAGGGTTAGTTCACCCAAAAATGAAAATTAAGTCATTCATTACTCACCCCCATGCTGTACCAACCCCGTAAGACCTTCGTTCGTCTTCGGAACACAAATGAAGATATTTTTGATTAAATTTGAGAGCTGTATAACTACCACATTGGCTGCCTAAGGGACTGGCTCTTGACGGCCCAGAAAGTCAATGAAGAAAATGTTTAAATATCCCATGTGACTACAATGGCTCAAGTATAAGTTTATCAAGCGACGAGAATACTTTTTGGGTGAAAACAAAAAACAAAAATAACGACTTTATTCGACTATTCCTTTTCTTCCTTGTTGGCCTGAAACGAGACTTCCTTAGATTTCCACGACGCATGCGCGAGAATTGCGATCTCCTTCAACTACTTCAGTTCAATTCTCGCGCATGCGTCGTGGAAATCTAAGGAAGTCTCGTTTCAGGCCAACAAGGAAGAAAAGGAATAGTCGAATAAAGTCATTATTTTTGTTTGTTTTTTCGCACAAAAAGTATTCTCGTCGCTTGATAAACATATAGTTGAGACACTGTAGTCACATGGGATATTTAAACATTTTCTTGATTGACTTTCTGGGCCGTCAAGAGGCAGTCCTTTAGGAGCCAATGTGGTAGTGAGACAGCTCTCAAATTTAATCAAAAATATCTTCATTTGTGTTCCGAAGACGAACGAAGATCTTACGGGGTTGGTACAGCATGGGCATGAGTAATGAATGACTTAATTTTCATTTTTGGGTGAACTAACCCTTTAAGTACAAAATTAGTTGTTGCAATTTAACTGACTTTAAGTATACCTATTTATATGGTGGCACAGATACATTTAGTTATACTAAATTACTTACAAATAAATTGTGCTTAAGTGTATTATATTTTCTCTAGGGAGGTTTCTGGCAAAAGTATACATTTCATTCACTTTTTCACGGCAATTGTTCATTACTCTTGTTGTTTCCTGTGCAGACCAGCCTCAACCCAAACTGTCAATAGAGTCTGAATGGAAAACATTTTACCCAAAAGAAAAAGTGATTCTGAAGTGTTCAATCAATTCAAATGAATGGGACTATGAATGGTTTAATGATGGAACTCAGCTTTCAGATGATGTTGACATTTCCTTTTCTGGAAACACGCTTACAATCATCTCAGCAAAAGCAAGTCATTCAGGACAGTATTACTGCAGAGGAAAACATCGTGAGAGAACATTAGTTACTACAAGAACAACAGAAGCTTTGCAACTTCATATTCATGGCAAGTGAATCTACTTCTGAATGAAACATTTGAAATTCATAAATGAAACAAAAAACAATTCAAAAAGTGACAGCCATATGAAATTTTGAAATGTTTAGCTGCATTACTGTTGCACTGACCTTGGTGTTATAATGAGGTTTGTGTCAGCGTTTACAGCTTCATGACCATGTTCAAATGGATTTTCAGTGAGAAATTGTATTTAGTTTGTGTGGGGATTATAATGAACAACAAGCACATGCAACTCCAGTTTTGTTTGAAAGTGATCCATTTTTTATACCTCTGTTTACCTCCTAGTTGACACACCAATGCCAGACATCAGAAAAGATCAGTGGTTTGATTTCTTCTACACTGGGGAGAAAGTCGAGCTTGGTTGTAACATGCCTGGTGATGGATGGGAGTATGACTGGTATAAAGACTCAGAAACCTTCATCACAGATCCAACCTTTAATATTAGCTCAGCATCTTTCTCTGACACTGGTGACTATCACTGCAAAGCAAAGAGAGGAGACTTCTCAGTGGATGGTGAAACTCTACAAGTGCGAGTTGAAGGTGAGTCTCTACTGCCTATTTTGGTAAAGGTTACTTTGTATATAGATTACAGATTACGAGTTACCCTATTTAAAATGTAACAAGTAGTGCAACTATTTCAATGACTTTATTAAAGTAATTCAACTGATTACATTTGACTACTTTTCTAAATTTCTAAACTGTTAAAGGGGTCATGAACTGGCTTTTTACATTTTCTTATATTGCTGCCTGAGGTCAACTTATGACATTCGCTTGGTTTTTGCATTCAAAAACATCAAAATGAATAAGTAATGGGCTAGTTTGTACCCTAGTTTTGAGCCTACCTGAAACGCACTGGGTTTTTATGGGCGTCACACTGAAGACTTGGAAGTAAACGCCCACTGCTGTGAGTGGATAACAGTTTTGCATATTATAATGAGTTTCAACTCACCCGTTGATGCACTTTAGGGGAAATTGTTTTGAAAATGTCCAATGTTGTAAAATGGCAACCGGAGTGATTCGCCCATACATGTTCAACCCAGAGTCCGTGTGTTGCACCATTCCTGTCAGATCCAATATAGACGGCACAGCACTGTTCTTTACTCTTAATCGCTCTGCAAATCCAGCCTTGTTTACAAAACAATCCTCAGTGAAATGAAGCAAACAAACGGTTTTGCCCTCATCAGCTGGAGTGGAACGTCATTAAAAATAAAGTTTATCCATGCAGTCCTATTGGAATCCAGAGGAAGCATAAGCAGCGACTGTCGTCTTTCACAACCAGGCACTGCACAATATTCTGTATTGCTCGCTCGGTAGCTCGATCCGGTTTGTCATCACGAGGTAGATATCTATGTTATTTAGCTATGCGTGTAATGCGCGAATCGGTGGGCGGGGCTAATGGCCGTGTTGAAGTAGGCGTTGATCTTCTTCTGCGGGGGTGGTGTTTTATCCTCTTTGTCGTCATAGTTCCCCACTTTGACAAATGAGTCATTTGCTGAGCCTGGTGTCAATAAAAGCTTTTATTGGACTAACAAGGACGCTTTCAGTTTTGAAACTTACAGGATATTCTTATAATATGATGACCTCTTAGATGTCAAAAGCTCAAGGAAAATTTGATTTCTCAGTTCATCACCCCTTTATTTATCTTTAAACATTTAAACCAGGGAGGGTAAACTAACAGTAGTTCTCAACACTGATTCATAAATAGAAGTGTGGATGCTAAAGACGTCTTTATCTGTCACGATTAGCCACACGCTTCCTTTACTAATGCTGCATTCCAAACAGGTTTTGAGCACGTAAATCATGACTTCAACCCACGACTCATGACTTTGTAGCGTTCCAGGCCAGTCAAGCCAAATTACCTGAGCGCAAGGAATTGTGGTACCTAGATGTAAACAAACCATTGTTGTTTTATATGGTTTCGCGGGCTATTCGATGTCCAGAGATGTATAAAGTACTAGAAACCCGAACTTGAGTAAAAGTTCAAGTGCTCTATCAAAAAAGTGACTTTGTAGAAGTTGAAGTGCTCTTTTAGCACCACACTTAAGTAGAAGTACTAAAGTATTCAACATTTTTTGTACTTAAAGGAGAACTCCGGCGCAAAATGAACCTTTGGTCTAATTACACATTGTTACCTAGTCAACCGTTATCTGAGATTTGTTTTCATGATTGACGAATGTAAATAGTTTTATCTCTAAAAACAGTTTAGCCTATAACGCTAGTATATAGGGCATAGAGTAATGACAAATAAAAATCGCTTGTTATTACCACTAACAAGGCTCAAAATAGCCCCACACTAAGACGATAGCATAATAAGGGTCCCTACATTCAAACCGAAGCATTGAGAACATTGTCAGTGTCCAAACAGTTTATTAAGAAGATATTTTATACACACAGTCAACTTCACGAATACAGGAAGAAGCCATCTTTGAAAAATAGTCTCTACCAGTCAATCTACGAACGCCGATCCATGTGCGCTGGTGAGACGATAAGGTGAGCGCGAACAGTAGGTTACGTGTACATATTGAAGAGAAGAAAACGGTTCGTGTTTGTGTTTCTTCCGAAAACAACAGACCATATGAGATTCTGCACAGTTCAGTGCACTTGGATCGGCGTTCGTAGATCAACTGGTAGAGACTATTTTTCAAAGATGGCTTCTTCCTGTATTCGCGAAGTTGACTGTGTGTATGAAATATCTACTTATTAAACTGTTTGGACACTGACAAAGTTCTCAATGCTTCGGTTTGAATGTAGGGACCCTTATTATGCTATCGTCTTAGTGTGGGGCTATTTTGAGCCTTGTTGGTGGTAATAACAAGCGATTTTTATTTGTCATTACTCTATGCCCTATATACTAGCATTATACTAGCGTTATAGGCTAAACTGTTTTTGGAGATAAAACTATTTACATTCAGCAATCATGAAAACAAATCTCAGATAACGTTTGAATAGGTAACAATGTGTAATTAGACCAAAGGTTCATTTTGCGCCGGAGTTGTCCTTTAAGTATTGCAAGTAGTTTATTTTAAAATTCACTACTTAAGTACTAAAAGTAAAAGTACAAGTAATGTCTCATGTAATTATTAAAGAAAGCAGTCAAAAGTTTGAACTAGCAATCAAGCTTTGGGGGGATACAAATTTGCTTTGGCGGCCGCTAATAAAATGTCATTGCAGGACAACCCCTGCATTAGTTGTCAATGTGTGTGTCAATACCATTACCCTATAAAACTGGCATGTGATTTAGGCAGCATGAAAGCCAAATTGCAACTTGTAACGAGTAACTAGCAGAACATCAAAAAAATATTGAAGTAAAAGTATTAAATTCATCAAAAATACTGAAGTAAAAGTAGAAAAATTCAAAATAAAAAACAGCATTTTAGTACTTAAGTACAGTACTTAAGTAGTTCTACTTCGTTACTATAAACCATTTTGCAAGATGTAAACAACACTGGTCCAGACACACTTCCTGTTTCAGTTTGTAACTGTTTTCTTTATTTCACATGTAAAGAAAACATCTTAAAGATGGTTGTTTAACTTTTTGATTCAGTTTTAGATTAAGTTGACGTGTAGTTTCAAAAATTGTATGTTGGGGGACCATCACAATAAAAGAGTTAGCAGACATGGATCAGACAGTCTACTAATAGTCTAATGAGAGTTAGTTGAGCAATAGTCAACTGCACGTTTAAAAGGGACCAAATAAAGTGTTACCCAGAATCTTCATCATTGGTGAACTATCCCTTTAAGTGTAGTTTACTGTATGGTATGTTTTGAACATACATGGTATAAATAAAGTGAGTTCACAAGTAAGTGCATTTTAAATAAAACTTGTAAAAGTAAAAGCACTGATGCCTATTGATTAGAATGAATTAGAAGACTCAGTATGAAATACATTTTATAACAAATTATTTCTAAAACAACATTTTGTTTTTTTCTAAGCTCGTCCACCTGCAGTTCTGAGTCTGGAGACCGAATTGAGCGACATCATGTCTGGGAATATCCTGACCCTCAGGTGTAGCGTCTCGGATGGCAGACAGTGGAGCTACACCTGGTTCGAGAACGAACAGAGGCTCAATGAGTCGTCAGATGTGTTTAAAGTGACAGCAACTGAAGAAAATATTAATAGTGAATTCAAGTGCAAGGGAATAAGGACGGAGAGACCACTGTACTCCGCTCTGAGTGAGGGCTTCACGGCCAATAATATTGGTAAGTAATGTGAATATATATTATTAAACTTCTTTCATCCAATTAAAATGCGCCGATTCAGTTCTCTGGGTACACGTTTTGTTGTCACCAGCTGTGAAATATGTGTGCAACACATCAATGAAATTGACTTACAACTGGGGATGTCTGGACCCCTCACTGTTGTGTAGTGTGTAGTAACTCACAAGTACGTGTAAAGGTCCCATGAGTCCTGTGAAACAACAGGAACAATGGAACACACAACATTTCGCTGGAAACCGCTGCCCCCCCCCAAAACACTTGAAGCGGCGGGGATGGCACAGAGGTTTATCAAGGGGGTGATAGGAAAGGGCGGGCTGATTTATTTATTTATACAGAGCTGGGTGCAAGACCATCAGGTCTTCCTCTTTTTGAAGATGATAGTCCTGAGGTTTGGCCATTTTAGAGGCTGATGAGGGCAGTGAGCCGGTCCTCAGTCTTGGTGGTGGTGGTGGTGGTGGGGGGTTTGGGGGGGGGAGTGCTACTTGCCGAAGAATGCCTCCTTGTCGATGGAACCTGCATTTGGTCCTTCCATGGTGTGCCATGACCTGCCGTTTGAAGCCCTTTCCCCACTAGTGTTGACGTGGTTCTGCACAGCTTAGTGGGGAGAGTTGGTTTCTTTAATGATACTGAACCAGGTGAGCGATAGCTTGTGGGCATCCCTTCGACCTGTGGCATCATCGTATATCCCCGTGCCTTCGCCAACGACAATCGATAATGTTGACATTGAAAGACACAAAGACACGAGAAGTATATGGTTTCCCATATGAATGAGAACTCGTTATGGAGGTCTTCAAAGAATGGGAGAGATACGCTGTTGGGGTCCCTACTCTTGACCACCAGACTGAAATCTGTCTACAAGTTTAAAGCGTTAGGGGGGTCTCTTGTTCACGTGGCCATTCTCGCTGTAATATGGCCACCGCGCAAGTAACCATCTTGAGTAATTCCTCACACGCTTTGTCATCACGTGAGGAACACTCGGAGGTAGGCAACTAATAATCATACAGGATTTTAAGATTCGTTGACCTCCACAAGAGCCGAAGAAGTGCTGAGGCACACTTCGGGATTGAGCAAAAGGACATCTGGGTCTGAAGCATAGCTGTCAACCCTCCCGTTTTTTCCGGGTTTCTCACGTATTTTATCTCTGTTCCCGCTGTCTTCCCGTTTTAGTATTTTCCCGTAAAATATCCCGTATTTTTACGCTCTGATTGTGTGAGACGTACAAGCTCGGACCTATTCGGCTTGACGTCGTTCATACTCGGATGTCTGGCCGGAGACACATTGACTGCGTGCGTCTCAGCTGCGTGGCGTGGCCGTTTTTATTTTACTGTCTATGGTTTTTATTTCGGCTCCCATGTTAACAGATTAGAGCTTGCACACTGCCTGCGTGACACGCGCAAATGCGTGCATGCTAGAAATAGAACCAGATGCCTATTTTCCACGCGACACTCAAGCGTGTTGGAAGCGTTTCCAGGCCAAAAAAAAAAACGATGTTCATATGTCAAAAATTTCCATTATTTTTGCCTATATATATTTTCATGTCATTTTTTAATCAATCGAGTCCTGGTGTCCACTACAGAGGTCATAGCATAACATAGGAATAAAATCTATATTTTTTTTCATTTGTTTCTTATGCTCTTAATAATGTAAAAAAAAAATAATAATAAAAATAATCCCTTATTTTGGCTACGGATTCCGAGAAATCTCCCTTATTTTCAATGTTCAATGTTGACAGCTATGGTCTGAAGAGAGAGCGAGTGCTGGACCCGTCTCCTGTCAATGCACCTGTGGGACATCTAATTATAGACTCAGATGAGTGTGCATTACGATGACATCACTGTCCAAGTCAATTTCACTGACATGTTTCACAAATATTTCACAGCTGGTCACAACAAAAAGAGTTACTGAATCAAGCACAGCATTGAGAGTAGCTTTTTAAAGGGAACAATCATTTAGATAAAAAATGAAGAAAATAAACATTTTGTGAGATAAATATCCTGTTACTATGATGGACAAAAAACACTTTTTATATATAATTTCTACATAAATGTTTTAATGGAATGTTGAGTTCTTTTGATTGACTTCATAATTTCCCTTATTATTACAGTATTAAAAAGAAAGATTCTGCTGGCTATCTCGGGATGTCTCGTGTGCTTTATTGTAATCCTGATCATTGGATGCCTTGTTCTAAGGATCACCCGTAAACCAGGTACAAACAAAACACAACTATTTTTCTGAAATGAAGTGTCTTAATTAATGAAACTGATCACATCATAAAAAAAGCAATATCTATTTACACCAAGCACTAGCAACCAGCCTCATGTCACCCAGGCTGCATTTACACTACAAGTCTCAATGCACAGATCTGGGGCCTTATCAACACTGTGTACATACAAAAACACAAAATCTTTCCCTTCCTCTTTGTATTGTCTGTCTAATATAGACCAATATTAAAAACAAACAACTAAGTTAGTGCTCACCTAACCTGTTGCTATCCACCGATCCGGGTGTTGTGGTTCTGACGACACAGAGCTTGAACGTCACGGCCGAGTGCCACTAGCCTATTTTAGTAATCACACAATAGCTTGACAATTTAATTTACATTTTTTATAAATATAGGCCTACATATTCTTTTTACTTGTTTAATGGGAATTTATTGGTAAAATATTTTATATTTTATTTTCCGTTTTTACCGACTACCTGCAGTACCCTCACGGACCACTAGTGGTCCGCGGACCACAGTTTGGGAATCTCTGCACTATGCCTCTCATGTCTCTGAACAAGATATCCAAGACCCCCAGCAGAAAAATAGGCCCACGACATTAAAGATCCAATATCAAATTGTACACATTGAGTACTTTTTATCCTTGTGTGCACCAAACCACTCTACCATGTTTGCTGCCAAAAATCTATTTTTTAGTTTTTTCTGATTACAGAAATCTGTGCTGTTTGAAGATCCAGTCATGTCTGACAACTAAATTTGCTGGAGTTTGTTTTTGGATGAGCGAAAACCTTCCCACGCAACATGTGGTGATGCAGGGGTTGTTTGATTATTTATTTTTTTTTTTTTTTAGGCTTTCTGACCCCCAAGACTAATCTCTGCAAGTAATCTCTGAAATTCTCTATCTGTGATCCTTGCAGAGTCTTTGTCCTCACCGTCCATTAAGACAATGTAGACACACGTCCACTTCCTAGCAGATTCGTAACATTTTTCATTGATTGGAACTTATTAATTATTGCCCTGATGGTCAAAATGAGGATTTTCATTTTTTTTTTTTTTTTTTTTTGTTGCTATTTTCTTACAGCCGCTTTTTATTTTGTGATGGTCAACAATATTTTGATGAACATCGGAACTATATTCTTTGGTTTTACTCATTGTGACGGATGATTAAGGGAATTTTGCCTTTGTGTTTCCTCATATTTAAACTCCTGTTAAACAAGAAGTCTGGATAATTTCATGGCTGGACAATTTCATGTTCCTAATCACCTTGGTGTTCTAAAAAAGGTAAACATTAATGGGAAAATACTTCAGAGATATTTTACTCGTAATTAATTCGAGGGGTACCAATAATTGTGGCCAACGTGTTTTGGAGAAAAACATTTATTCCATAATGTGATTTCCTCCCCACTTTCAACCAGCAACAGATAATAGAAACAATTATAATCTAAATCAGATTCTTGCTGTTTGATGATCATTCAACATCAAACAGTGATTACAGTATTAAATCACAGTATCAAACCGATGGGTCAGAAACGAATATACGCAGGTTTTAAAATGTTTTAGGCTTTTCCTCATCAAAGAATATTTGCAAAACATTTAATAATCAATCTCTCAGCCCTGCATGGTTTTTGCTGAGCTCTGGAATCCAATCAGCCAGGAGGAAACCATGGGCTAAAACAATTTTTGGACATGTACTCGGATAGAGTTCATTTCCAATCCTCACTGCACAAGGGAAAATTGACAGGATAGTTCTGTCTGCGTCCTCCTTCCTAGACAGTCCAACTGTTCTAAATGCAACTGCTATCTTTGTCCAGCCACGTAAACTCCACTATGCACAAACTCCCTCAAGGCTGCCCTTTCATCTCACAACTTCACTCCTTCACGTCTTTGATTCATACGATAGAAGACGAGAGTCAGGTCGCGGCAGCAAGCCTTCAGCAAGCCCCAGATACTGCCACGCCTCACTCTAACTTTAACTGACATCATTTTTCTTCACTGCCACATTGAGTATTCTTATCTGTGGTTGGATGGTGTGAGGCCTCCTGGTCGAGCATCTACGCTCTCTCATTCTCCATCCGGTGAGGTCCGATGCCATGAGTGTTGAACTCTCGTCAAAAGCAACGAGAGCTCTCCTGGTTGGGCGTTTCAAATTTCATTCACCCTGTCATCAGCTGATAAGGCCCACTAGCCCGACGCTGAGATGCTACCATCTGAGGCTATATGGGCCATCTCGTCGGTTGTACTTGAGTCACTCTGCTCCCTGTCCATTGTTCGGTTGAGCTCATCCGTGAACCCTCCCGATCAGCCATTCTCATTAAGGTTGCTCCTCGTCTGCCTCTGAAATTTTTTTAAATGGCAGTGAAACCCATACTGATTATTTTGATACTTGTATCATGTAGCCTAGAAATTTAGCTTCAAAACTATGTGAAAATCACCCTTTCATTCACATACAAAAATAATTGCTTTAAAATGAGTTTTGTGTAAGAAAGCTGTATGCGAGGAGGGAGTGAATAAAGACTGTGAAGAGATTAAAAGAATGGCTTTTTGATTGTATGGATTTATTTATGTCATTTCCAAGCTGTTTGCTTTTTCATATTACCCTATTCATGTACAAAGATCAACAGGACTCATCATTGGCATTTGGTCCCTGAAAAAAAAAAAAAAACTGTCCATGCTGAAATCAGGAGAAACAATAGGGCTGTATGATTGGGGGTAAAACATCTAGTTGTGATTTTTCTGGATAATATTGTGATTAAAATTCAAACACAAAAAGGAAATATATATAAAGCAACCTATAAAGAAATTAATGCAGCCTATAAATAAATCATAAAAAAATAACACTTTAATACAGTAAACTACAAAAAATTTTCTGGATTAGATGTTGGATGTTACTTCATCATTTGGGACGAAACTTTGTTTTATTTTTTTTTTTTATCAATAATACAGTAAAATAGTAACATTTAGCTTCTGTGTTTTTAATTATATTATTTACATTTGACATTTAATTACAGAACTTTTGTTTCTTTTCATTATCTTTAGAGAAGAAAAAAACTGTACAAGAGGACTTGTTTTTCTCAATGGGAGACTCCAAGAACCGTAAGTATAGTACCACATGTATACTCTGTATATTATATGTCTAACCTTGTGGAGACATTTTTTTCACCATTAGGAAAACAGCTTATAAATCATACTAAATTATGTTCCCTTTCGTATGTGAATTCCTACGTCTCGTCAGAGGAGTTTCCAATGAATTGGAATCACGTTAGGGAGACCAATTGCCTTTGAATGAATTAAAACGAGCCAAAAATATTGGCATGCAGGATTTGCATTCCACGTCCCGCCTATCAATGTGGGTATAAAAGCGGAAGCGAATGCACACACTTTGCTTTTAGCTTCGGAGCCAAACTAAGTGTCTTCTGAGTGATGAGCTTCAAGATTACATTTATCTTCACGCTCAGCGAGTCTGCTGTTTCTCTGAAGGCCTCTCTGTGTTGGTGTGACGGCACTTCAGCAATCTCCCTGGTAAACTCCCTGGCGGCTAGACTGAGATTGACTCCCTCCTCCTCCCTCACCACCCTCAATGGCGGGGCAGCTTTGGGATACGAAGGCCCAGTGGAGCGCCCGGTGACGATGCAGCTGTGTCCCACCTCCGTTTCTCCTGGCGGGATAACCCTTCGCTCCCCTCCCGCGCTTGTAAGGGCAGTGTAACTCCAGTCGGTCTCGCCTCCGGCTGCTCGTCGCCGAGGGTGCCCTCCTGCTGCCGCCTCCTCCCATGCTCAGCCCAAGCAGCAGCCAGCTAAGGGACAGGGTGCCGGCTGCAAGAGGGATGCCCAGCCCGCTCAGGCCTCGACCAAACCCCATGGCAAGAGGAGAGGTAAGCGACCCTGAGATGGGCCACCCAGAGGATACAGTGTCTGCTCTTCAGGAGGGTGCCTCTGCACCTCTCCTTCCCCCGAAGGAGGGCTGTTTAGAGAATCTTCTTTTTCCTTTTGTTTCTGTTCCCTGTTCCGCGTTTGGCGGTACCCAATTTGTCAATAAAAGAGCAGTTTCCATTTCCTCTGGGTCACCCACGGTCGAGACTAGCAGTCAAGAACGACGCTCAATTGCCTCGTCACTCTCAGTCCCTTCGCCCCAGCCCTCAGGTGCCAGTGATGCCGCCTCGGACTCGTCGCTCTCGTCTGTTGAGACTCCATGTCTCTCGGAATCCAGGACTTGACGCCCCCCAGCCTCGCTCCTCGTTTCCCCTCCGACCTTTGCCTCGGGACAGTCAGCAGTTGAATGCTCCAGAGAAAGATGGGCCTTCCCTGCTGCTTGCCCCCCGGTGGAGGCAGGTAAGCGTTGCACCACACACACAGACCCCACCTTCAGCCGCAGCACTGCCTCCCACCTCCCAAGTCCATGCCTTCCACCTCGCTGCCCCTCCGCGGGTACACCGGTGGTCCGAGTGGGCTCGTTGGTTCAGTCTCTCAAAGCCTGGCTAGCGCTTCCGAGACCATCCAGGTGACTCATTCGCACCATCCAGTTCGGCTATACAATTCAGTTTGCCCGCCGGCCTCCCAGGTACAGGGGTGTCCTCTTCAGCCAAGTGCGGAGTGGCAACCCCCCTGTCCTGAGGAAAGAGATCGTTGCCCTGCTGGCGAAGGACGCGATCGAGCCAGTCCCTCCATCTGAGATGAGATCTGGGTTCTACAGCCCTACTTCATTGTACCCAAGAAAGGCGGCGGGTTACGACCAATCATGGATCTGCGTGTTTTGAATCGGGCCCTTCACAAGCTACCGTTCAAAATGCTTACGCAGAAACGCATCTTTGAGTGCATCCGTCCCCAGGATTGGTTTGCAGTGATTGACCAGAAGGACGCGTACTTTCATGTCTCGATTCTGCCTCGACACAGACCATTTCTTCGGTTTGCATTCCAGGGTCGGGCATATCAGTACAAGGTCCGACCCTTGTATGTTTTACACCCCTTTATTTATGTTTTAGTGCATGTATGTTACATGCTACTGGATACCTGAAGTTCCTATCTATCTATCTATCTATCTATCTATCTATCTATCTATCTATCTATCTATCTATCTATCTATCTATCTATCTATCTATCTATCTATCTATCTATCTTTCTATCTATCTATCTATCGGTTTGGCCCTGTCGCCCCGCGTCTTCACGAAAGTCGTGGCTGATAATAGCTCACTCGTGAGATCTGTTGTGCGATCACAGGGACCTGGTGCTCCGGAACCACAGCAGCCAGGACAAGAGCAAACTCTGCCCCACACAGAGGAACTCTTATCTCGGTATGGAGCTGGACTCTGTCAGTCACACTGCGCGCCTCACTGCGGCTGTAGCGTACATCAATCATCAAGGTGGTCTATGGTCCCGTCGTATGTTGCCACTCGCCCGCCATCTCCTGATATGGAGTCATGTGTTTTTGAGTTAGCTTCGTGCTGTTTACATCCCGTATGCGCTCAACTGTGCAGCAGTTGAGCTCTCATGGCAAACGCCACTTCCAGGAGAATGGCGACTCCATCTCTAGGCGGTCCAGCTGATATGGCGAGTCTTTGGAGCCACTCAAATAGATCTGTTTGCTTCTCCAGACACCTCCCATTGCCAGTTGTTCTACTCCCTGACCAGAGGATCTCTCGGCACAGATGCACTGACACACAGCTGGCCCCAGGGCCTATGCAAATATATGTTTCCCAGCACAGTGAGCCTTCTCGCACAGACACTGTCAGGGAGGGAGGGAGGACATCAGGGAGGAGGAGGAGCAGGTCTTGCTAGTTGCGCAGTATTGGCCCAACTGGACCTGGTTTCCGGAACTCATGCTCCTCGCGACAGCACCTCCCTGGCCCATCAATCTGAGGAAGGACCTTCTTTCTCAGAGACGGGGCACTCTATGTCACCCACGTCCAGACCTGTGGAGACTCCATATCTGGTCCCTGGACGGGACGCGGAGGTTAGGCCACTGGCTAGTGGATGCTATTGTCCGGGCTTATGAATCCCAAGACATGCCTTGCCCACCCAGGTTGATGGCTCACTCTACTAGGAGTGTCGCTTCCTCCTGGGCATTAGCACAAGGTGCCTCGCTGGAAGATATCTGCAGAGCTGCGGGCTGGGTGACACCAAACATGTTTGCCAGGTTTTATAGCTTATGTGTTGAACCAGTTTCTTCCCGTTTACTCGCTACGGCCAGTGGCTTGAGGGAATAGGTTCTGTCGGCTTGCTGCGCCACTCCCGCCTTAAGAGCCGAATCCGTGCGCTTTTTTGCTCTGTTGGTTCCCCAACAAACGGCTAACCTCATGAATTCCTCCACCATCCTCCGGCACCAGGAGAGGTGGATCACCCGGCACCAGGTCTGTTACCTCTCATAAGAAGTTGTTAATAGACTGGGTGACCTACACGGTGGTTTCCACGTGACCACTCTCCACGTTCCAGCTACCCTACGGGCTAGCTCTGTGTCTTCCCTTCGACAGATTCATTCTGTTGTCCTTGCTGAGTACGCTCCCACCCTATGGGCTGGGACTACCTCAAGGACTCCCGTATGTTTCACTACCCTACAGGCTAGTACATACGTGTATTCCAGTGCCTCCCTTCGGGCGGGCCAGGGGCTCCGCAACGTTTCCTCCTACAGATTGGGCACCTTTCCACAGTGTTATCCAAATCCACTGAGTGGGTCTTGCGGAACAGCAGTGTGATTTCTTCCTAGCTAGCTCCTGCCATAAATAAACTAAGAAACTGCTTGGCGGGTAGCTCAGCTGGGCGCTGGAAGTGGTCAGCACCATGACGTTTTATTTGGGATCCCAATTTGTTGGAAACTCCTCAGACAAGACGTAGGAATTCCCATATGAAAGGGAACGTCTTGGTTACATATGGTAACCCTTGTTCCCCGAGTAGGGAACGGAGACGTCGCGTCCCGTCGCCATGTTTGCTGTACCTTCGTAGAGGACTGGACACCGTCCGGCTCCTCAGCGTAAAGCAAAGTGTGTGTGTTCGCTTCCACTTTTATACCCGCATTGATAGGTGGGATGCGAAATGCAAATCCCGCATGCCATTATTTATTGTCTGTTTTAAGTCACTCAAAGGCAATTGGTCTCCCTAGCGTGATCCCAATTCATTGGAAATTCCTCCAACGAGACGTCTCCGTCAGGGAACGAGGGTTACCAGATGTAACCGAGATGTTTTTTTTTTTTTTTTTTTTTTTTTTTTTTTTTTGTCATGGGTAGGGCTGGTTTGTACAGTATACAAATTGTTATGTCTATGAAATGTCACTATAAAACGTGTGTGTGCGCGCAAATGTGTATGTGTATATGCATTTGTATGGGTCTTCAATTGCTCTGTAGAAATGGCTTTACCCTTGGAGGAGTACATGGACAACAGTCCCACAGAGATGCAAGGTATGTGCCTTTAACTGTTTGGCTGACATTACAATCAAAAACACAGTCATGTACTCATTTACTTTAACAAATGGTACTTTTTCATATCCCAAGCCTTTCTGATTATATTATGTGACAAGAAGTACAACAAGTAATGTTTTCTGGCATTTTGCATGAATTTGCTTGTTTAACAAGTCAGAATTATGATTTTAGATTTATATAACAGGTTTACTAAAACCACAATCCCTCTAAAATCTTTCAGAATGTGAGAAAAAAGAAGAACTGTTTACTGATCATGTTTTAGCTGTTCATGTGGATGGTGTGATTGAAGGTAAGAAACCTAACAAACATGGACTAATATCTATCATATCATAGCATTTTGTAAAATAAATTAATCATTTCATTTTCATTTCAATAAACATTTTAATTTGTGTTAACATAATAATTATAATTGTTTATAATAACATTAACTTAATATTGTGTGTAATTAAAATTTGTAAACTCAAATTTCAGCATTACTCAAGTAGTTGGATTGACTTGAGGAATCAACTTTTAAAAACATAAAGTTGTGTTTGTTACATATTAGGTTCCTCTACATAATTTCATTCAAATTTGTCATGACTAACTAACTGTTGTGTCAGTTTGTTGTTGTTGTTGAGCTGACACATTATTTTTAGAGTGTGTACATTACACTCTTAAAAATAAAGTTCCCAAAAGAGTTTTTTTGATAGTGATAAACAACACATCTTGGTTATGTATGTAACCCCATGTCAGAAAGTACTGACAAATTGGGATCTCACCTGAGAGCCTGTAAGGACCACCCATCAGCCCAACTGCGGAATCCAAATTGTGGCCGAAAATACAATGTGTGTATGTACTTTCAGCACTCCAGTGAAGTTCACTTCATTTATTAGAATTTAGTTTCAATATTGCTTTAGCTCCAAACCAAATCTGAGTCCAATTTGAAATTAAGATTAAATCAAATTAAGATTTTGATCATATATGAAATATGATTTCACACTTTCAGTGATCTGTTAATTAGTGACACAATGCCAGTCACATGCCCTGGGTTACGTGGATCTCACAGACACTATCTTGCCAGTCTGATTTTGGTCAGTAATAACTCGTTAGTAGGTTGCCTAGTGTTTGTGTACAGAAAAGTGTAGTTTATTTAGCCACTTCTGTACAACTTGCCAAGTCATGATAGACAGATATCAAAAGGTCTTCAGATGACGTGCCTACTGCGCCGTTCATACATGCACCTGGTTTGACCTATCTTGGACACAGGTCTGAGGTAGCATCAGCCTCTGGTCATAATGATTTCAGGAGAGTCTGAATTGTATTTGTCAGGTACAAATGTATCAAGCCAATTACACAAGTAAACAATTATAAGCCAATTCCTAACATCAATTGCTCAAAAATGACTCTAAGAGTAAGAAAGGTATACCTGACAGGGACGCACAGTGGTGTGTGTGTTCCTAGTGTAAGTCTCAGGAAGACACTAACGCAGCACTGCATGTGGGTGTTCTGGTTATAAATTCCCAAAGACTTATCTGCTACTTTCCCTTAAAGGGTTAGTTCACCCAAAAATGAAAATTCTGTCAGTATTTACTCACCCTCATGTTGTTCCAACCCCGTAAGACCTTCGTTCATCTTCGGAACACAAATTAAGATATTTAAGATATTAAGATCACTCCTGCATACTAGTCCATAAGCTTCTTGAGGGAATGACTTGCTGTCCTCAAAGTCATTAAAGACATCGTTGAAATAGTCTAAGTGACTACAGGGGCTCAATCTTAAGTTTATCAAACGACGAGAACACTTTTGTGGGCAAACAAACAACAAAAATAACGACTTTATTTCAACTATTCGTTTTTTTCTCCCTCTGCGTGAGTCAGGTTACTAGTTTAATAGCGTAAGCTTCTGTTATTGTACGTCACACGCATCACACACATGACCAGCGTCGGCCAATAGTGAGCCTACGTGTGAAGTCCCTTTTCGCAATCACACTATGTTAACTGACTACAGGCCCATGGAGAAGGAAGTGAATAGTTGAAATAAAGTCATTATTTTTGTTTGTTTTTGCTCACAAAAAGTATTCTCGTCGTTTGATAAAGTTAAAATTGAGCCACTGTAGTCACTTGGGCTATTTTAACGATGTCTTTAATGACTTTTCGATGCCAGCAAGAGTCATTCCCTCAAGAAACCTATGGACTAGTATGCAGGAGTGATCTTAATATCTTAAATATCTTACTTTGTGTTCCGAAGATGAACGAAGGTCTTACGGGGTTGGAACAGCATGAGGGTGAGTAAATACTGACAGAATTTTCATTTTTGGGTGAACTAACCCTTTAAGAACCCAGACTAGACCAAATGGCGGGAGTGGGAGGGAATGGGAGAGATTATTCTGGCATTGGGACGGGACGGGATTTCCCCCCAGAAGGGGAGGACTTTGTACTGATATGCCCTCCCTTTGAAGGCAAAGTGTTCCCCCCGTAGTGACCCCTGAAGTGGTGTCTGAGTGTGTGGTGCAATACTTATCTGGTTCCCTGGTAGTGCAGAGGGTGCTTGAGGAGGCTTCCTCCTCGAGAAGCATCCTCAAAGCGCACGCTGTTGCCGGCTGACAACAAAGAGAAGGCTGAGAGTGATAAGGGATAGCATTGTGCACCACCAACAGTGCCCCCTTAAGACCAAGAGATAGAGGACACTGCTCTTTCATTGAAAATGTGGGTACCGCTGGCTGTGTGGCCAGTGGTGTAACAGAAACAAAACTGAAAAAAATATTCTCCACCCGTCCCTCCTCCGGGGAAAGAGCAGCTCTGTCCATCTCCAAAGTCGCACATCTCAGGGGTGGTTTTTCACCGACCGCTTGAAGGATAAGCAGCTGAGATCGCCATCATGTTCTCCTTGAATGCCTAATACAGTGTAGTTCACCTTAGTTTTTCATGAGATATTATGAAAGGATTTATTCTTAAATTTGTAATCCTACACTGTCAACTATTCTGATCTGATTCAAAATGTGCACACCGTTACAGTGGGAAGCTGAGCATCATCTTCATTTCCAGAGTGTAATAGCCATCTCTGCGATGCAGCTCTCGGCATCCGGATCCTTATCTAGAGCGGCTCGTGACGTGTTGGGTTGCTGTGACACCCCATGCTGTCAGCTGGCGGCTCGATGGCACACGACACACTGAGGAGCGGGAAGTCTATGGGGATTTTGCCTGGCCCATAAACTCTCGCTGAGATCCTCGATCTCCCAACAGTGTCAAGAAGACTGACGGCTGTGCTTTTACATGAACCACTCACGAATGAAGCAAACATGGCCGTCAGGTGAGGACAGGAACAATTACATGCAAAGATGCAAGGGTGGAACAACAACTTTAAAAGGACGCTGTGTAACTCCTGTGTTACCTAAGTTAATTGAGGCCCACGGGGGAAACGGCCCAAAGGAAAGCAGAAAATGCTCTTGCAGATCGTGACTACCGCTGTAGCGCCACAATTGCTCTGCTCATAAACAAAAAGCTGAACTGTGAGTGCACCCGCTTTCAAATTTATACCCACCCTGCAGGTCAGAGCATGCCATACAAATCTTGCATACAAATATGTATTGGCTTGTTTAGTTTACACTCAAAGGTGATTGGGCTCTCAGGTGAGATCCCAATTCGTTGGTACATTACTACGCCAGTCGAACTTGCTACGGATTGAAAGGGAACCTAATAACATTTAGTTATCAGTTCTTAAAAGGGTATTTGTTTTCTGTGTGAAAAGCAATTTAAGAAACAAAAGAACCTTTTTGGCACTATAAAGAACCTTTAGTGTAATTAAAAGGCACCTCTGATATTAAAAGTTCTTCATGGAACCATCAATTCCAATAAAGAAGCTTTATTTTTAAGAGTGTACACAAAATACAGGAGTATAACAATGTTTCTGAGAAATAAGGGAGCAAATCAGTAATCACAAATGACTCATTTTTTTTTTTTTTTTTTTTTTTTTTTTTTTTTTGAAGATGAAGATTCACAAGCGGCAGAAGCTATTGGCCTGACATCATTTAAAGGTAGTAAAATGAAGTTAGTTTAAAGCCGTTTTGAACACTAAGCATGAGTTAATATCTTTTAACCCTGGGTCATAAACTGCCTCAATGTTTTATTAAATATTCATGCACTTTGTTCTGTCATAAAAAGTAACCTTATAAATAATATGTAAATATGCAAATAAAAAGTCCCATCCAGGTTTTTAAATGTACAGTGTGAAATATTGAAACTTGAGACTCTAGGTTAAAGGGAAAATGTGTAGGAATTTCTCCCATCTAGTCGTGAAATTGTAGCCTGGATGCCAGCCCGAACTCCGCCCACAACATTTTTTTGGTCGGGAAGTTCGGTCTGGACTCGATCCATTGAAGAGTAATTATGATCAGGCAAAAGACGTTCGGGCATATCAAATTGCCAGGACGGGCTTTATACGATTATGGACAGGTGATCTGCAAGGATGTAATCATCACGTTATCAAAGAGCGCTTAACTGGTTTCCCTCAGAGATGACTGCAGCTGGAGAACTGAGATGTATAGATACCGCTGTCGCGTCTCATTTTAATAGACAAACAGAAAACTGCAATCAAGACATTTGTCGATCAAAAGATATTTTAACCGTCCTGCCTACATGATTCGGCAAAAGTGTAACTTATCAGCTGGCTCTGATGGTCGCTAACAAGATGGGACGTAATGAAAAGCCTGTGGTCGTTGTGGTTTCTCCTTCGGTCGCACTCATGGAGGAGTAAGTAAAAGAAGCAACAATCATTATTTAAAGGGGGGGTTGACTGACTGCTTTTTTACTTTGCATGATTGTGTTTATGGGGTGCAATATAACATATATTTGTGTTTTTTCTTTTTTAAAAAGTCTTATTTTTCATAAACTTCACCTTTATTGTAAGCCACGCTCTCCTCTGTCCCCTGAACGACCGGTCGACTTCCTGATTCTATGAAACCACTCCCTCAGAAACAGGCTATGGGCTCCGATTGGTTAGTTTGGGCTGGTGTGTGGTGATTGGCTAAACTGTCGCTCACGTTGTCCGGATTCTTCACGCCCATTACCTTTACGGGCGAAACGTGCCTGTGCTCAGGTGTAAATAATGGTGTGAACTGCAGTATCAGTTTGAGGCAGAATCAGACCGAGAAAGCGGTGATGAAAGAGTCAAGCAGAACTCACCACACACAGCTCTTACAAAACTTTTCTGAATGATAATTTGCTACATTTTTTTTTTTACTTGACTGGCAACAATAGCAACTGACTGGCTACTAATGTTATTCACAAGCAGTGTTGGCATTAGTTTACGTTCTTGATCAAATCAAAAATAACGTCATAAAGCATAAACATGAAAAATACATTTAAAACATTAGTACTTATACAAAATTCAGGTCCATAATGTTTTTACGCGTTTGTCGTAGACACAAAATAGCATAACTAGTAGCCTATAGTGGTTATAAAGCCAGAGCTGGCATTTGAAAAAAATAAAACACAAGGCTACGTCTGGAATTATACATGCAAATACATTTAAAATGATTAAGTCTTAGCCTACTTACAGGTTGTGGCCCAACAACTGCTGCCTCTGGTTTTAAAGTTGGATCTGCTTCATGTTTTAGTAAAAGTTTCTTGTTGAATCCGGTTTTGAATTCGTGGAAGCTGTCTTCCGTAAAATGCGCAGCACAGAGAGTTAAATTACGATCATCATTTTCAGGAACATAATCAAACATAAATTGTATCCATTGTTGACGAAGTACAGCGTCCGTGGGAAGCCCGAACACAGAAGACCTGACAGCTGGGTGAACACAACACACTCAACGAGCCGCAGAATTATGCGCATGCCCTTTTTTGCATATTCCAGAGGGAGGGAGGGGTTGATGCAAATGTATGGGTTAGTGACGTCTAAAACCCAGCTGTAGTCCCAATCGAGTCGTTTTTGTAGGCAATATACTTCCTGATTTTTAAAAGACGATATCTCTGCTTACACTGAAATTTCAGCGCTGCAACTTTGCAGATACTGTTCATGCACCAACAGCAACATTACATGCTATTAAAAATGAAAAAAGTGAAATCACAATCAACCCCCCCTTTAACTTCTAAAATAAGTAAAGTTAGGCTACGTTCTGTAGTTGACAACTGTATGCAAAGTAGCTGACCAGTGGCGCAAAAAGTGGGTATGCGCTATATGCGGCGCATAGGGGCGCAGCACAATGGGGGGCGCCAAAGCGATGGTAAAAAAAAAAAAAAAAAAATTATATATAGGCTATATTGTATTTCTATATGTAGCTGCCGTTGTGCGTTTCTAAATCATTTCTGCATTCCTTCAATGTTATATAAAATTTTAGAGGACTAACAGCCAGGCTAGAGTAGGCGCCCTCATGGAGAAGGGGGGCGGGTAATATCGCGAGCGGGCGGGGGCGCCGTGAGCGCTGAGCGAGCAGGTACGAGTAGTGAGTTGTCGTCGAAAAAGATGGATAAAACAAAATGCTGTGGGGCTAAAAATAGAAAAAGAAAGAGAGAAAAGGAGATGGCATGTCAATTGATGCGACAGCAGCTAAATAACTGCATGCATTGCTGGTAGGATTTAAAATGTGACATCCAGGCATGGCCATCGGGACTACCGGGAGATTCCCACTGGGCCGACGTGCTTTTCAGGCAATACATTTCATCCTTTTTTAATTTAATTGTCTTAACGGCCCACAAAACTCATACATCGGCGGCCCATTTGTTTGTTGTTTGTTTTTGTTTTGTTTTTTGCTTAATTGGCGGCGCTGTGCTGGTGTAATGCATTGGTCAAAAAAAGTCAGCTTTAGTTTTTTTTTTTTCTGACACACTGGCCCATGAAATATGTCATTATGCGCTTATATCTTTCAAGTATAGAAATTTAGTTGGGGGCCTTAAGCACATTTTCGCGCAAATTCATCTAAAAGCGCCAAATTTGGCACAGTTGTAGCTCAGGTCATACTGAAATGATTTAGCTAGGGCGCCGGAGCCAGCGACCCTCGGGGCCAAGATGGCGGCCAAATCCAATATGGCCGCTGCCCGAAAAGGGTTCCGGCTATAACTTTTGAACCACATGAGTTACAAATACAAACTTGAAATGTTTTTCAGCTTAATTGATCATGGGAAACACATAGAAATGTTTATATTTATGACCCAGTATATCTGGACCCCTTGATCCTCCAATTCCAATATGGCCGCTGTCCAAAAAAGCAGTTTGGGCTGTAGAATGGGGCCTTACATCCCATTGTTCGCGCAAATTCATATACAAGCACCAAATTTGGCACAGATGTAGCTGAGGGCATACTGAAATGATTTAGCCAGGGCGCCCAAGCCAATGGTCCCTGAGACCAAAATGGCGGCCAAATCCAATATGGCCGCCACCTGAAAGGGATTCGATTATAGCTTTAGAGCCAGATGAGATACAAATACAAACTTGATGTCTATCTTACCTTTTCTGGCTATGGGAAACCCATATGAATACTTACATTTATGATTGGGTATATCAGGACACTATTTTTTTTTTCAAAAAAAAATATCGCTATCAGGACCCCCCAAATTCCCTAAATCCAATATGGCCGCCACCTAAAATGGATTCGACTATAGCTTTTGAGCCAGATGAGATATAAATACAAACTTGATGTCTATTTTACCTTTTCTGGCTATGGGAAACCCATATGAATACTTACATTCATGATTGGGTATACCAGGACCCCCCAAATTCCCTAAATCCAATATGGCCGCCACCTAAAATGGATTTGACTATAGCTTTTGAGCCAGATGAGATACAAATACAAACTTGATGTCTATTTTACCTTTCCTGGCTATGGGAAACCCATATGAATACTTACATTTATGATTGGGTATATCAGGACCCCCAAAATTCCCTAAATACAATATGGCCGCTGTCCAAAAAAGGGTTTTGGCAACAAATTTTGAACCAAATGCGCTACAAATGAGGATGTGGTGTCTATTTTATGTTTATTGTTCACAGGAAGTCCATTGGCATATTTATATTTATGCTTGTGTAAGTCTGGAACCTGTATTCTTTTCAAGACTATGGTTGAAAATCCTTTTTTTATCACAACTTTGAAGGTTATTCTCAATGTTGATTAATTTCCTTTTAAAAGCGAAATGCTTTTCAGTGTACCACAGGTGAATACATTTCAAAGTGTAATCATATAATAAAGAATAATACACATTATTATTGGAAGGAAAAATGTATATTGTCAGATTGTTAAAAGAATAATATAGTCAATTTGTCCAAAACTCTTAAAAGTTTACTTAGCATAACAAAAAAAACAGCAATAACAAGAAAAAACAACAGTGAATTCTCATGGTTTCTCACATGAATTATCATTATAATCACCGGATCTCTCATCGTCTCCACCATCATTGCTACAACACCCTCACATGCACATATAGAAGTCAGGGATGTGATTTTTCCGGATTAATCCGGAATTCCTGCTTTTTTGTCCTTAGCCAATCACATGCCTGAGAAGTGCAACAAACTCCGGCTTTACAGCACTTGCAGTGCCCTCTACATGCTGTCTTGCAGTCACAGTGGAGGAGATATGGTGCAGGCTTTGACTTCAAGATTAGTCCAGTAAGGTTCCCAAGTCTTGCTCGTAGAGTCCCGATACCATCCCCATGCATTGAAATCTGGGATATCTTGCTGGACAGCGGTTGCCTGATTCCTGTAGAAGCTGGCCTGCAGCAGTGCTCTTTTGATGTGCTGAATCAGTGCAGCTTGGGTGGGAGGCAGGTTCTCGAGAGTCTTAGTACCATTCGAGAAAAGGTGATGTCTAGCTTCATCTACACGGCTGGAACCACAGCTCTTGCTGTACATGATGATGACCATACGCTCCAGTCTTTGGACATGGACATCATTGTTGATCTCTTCAGGCTCTAAGGTAAGGGTAACCAGGGATTCTGTGAGATCTGGTGTTGCCTCCCAAGCTGCCCATGCACTCTTTTTCCCATGGCCCAGGCTGAGGTTGTGTCACAGCCTGTTAAAGCGTGGAAGAGTGGTTAGGCC